GCGTCACCAGTATCAGCACCGACACCAGTCACTCCTCCACCAGCTGTGGTATCACCAGTAGCAGCACCAGAGTTAGCACCAGCACCAGCACCAGCTCATGGCAAGCACAAAAGAAAGAAGCACAAGCATAAGCACCATCACGCGCCAGCACCTGCACCAACTGTGCCAAGCCCGCCAGCACCACCAACCGTCCAAGATTCTGTGGATGTGACACCAGCGCCATCCCCTACTCTGAATTTGGTAACGTTTCCATTGTTTTTGCCCATCTGGTAACTGTAATTTTTCGAAAATAACGTAGTACATAGACAGGAACAGCTCTAATATGATAAAATCACTTACTCTCTCTCGCTTGAATGCAGAATGGAGCAACCTTTTTACTGCAAGGAAGCGCATCTAGAATGTGGACGAATGCTGGTTTGGCGATGACTATTCTTTTGGCCATCATAATCTGAGATTCCCACAGATATTACACGAAAAGCTATATGTTTCATTACCAGAAAGATTTTTTTTGAAATGAGATGGGAACTATTTATGTGTTTAGAGGAAAAATAATGTGGAATATGATTGTCATTGTTGTTATCTCATTGATATTCTTTTCATCCAGACATTAACATTGAATGTAATTGATTTTCTTTCACCTACAAAATTGCACTGTCAATACTATTACTCTCTTGCTAGAGCCTAAAGGTAAACATAAGCTTCAATCAATCTTGATCAGCATCTGGATCCATACTAATTTCGTCCTTGAAGTTGTACTCAACCACAAGTCCAAGATTGTCAACTAATTTGTGATACTGAGAGCAGCCTGAACACTGAAATGAGAATCTTCAGTTGACACTCTATACCCAGTCGATTTAAATATTCTATAATAATAAAGAAAATTTAAAGAAAACAGAGGCAAATAAGACAGCTATGTCACACCATTATTTGACGTAAATACCAAAGACTCAAAAGATGAAAAATTTTAATATTAGATTTCAGTAAGGTAATAGAAGTATTCATGCAAACAAGATGCCAAATATCTAATCCAGAACTATAGTTGTTAAACTCTGAATCATACATGTTAAGAATAGTCGATATTAGAATCCCTCATACTACTTACGAAAGTTCCAACAGTCCAAAGGGTTGGCTACCCCATTTATGAACAAAAGCGCAAGAGCAATTTTTTTTTTTGTACATGCATTAAGGTAGGGATAAAAGATCCCATATGTCCCCCACAATTGAATGGCTCAGATATGGCAACCACTACCAGAAAACTTATATGTTTAGCCAAATGTTTTTCGGAAAAATAGTTTAAATTGAGGAGAACATATGACAGCACCGTATAATACAAGTGCTACTAAGAAGATTACACATTAATACCTTCAATGGTTAAATCATCCATCTAACACTTCTAGCCTAAAATATCTTGGTGAACATATATAATTAAAAGAGATTATTTTGACTTTGCTATCTCATAAGAAATTAGTTTTGCTTGCAATTATCAAAGGCTTTAACAGCATGACCAGACGCTCAATTCTATGTACCTGTATAAACACAGTCCCTCTTTCATATGCTAATCTGTTTATCAGTCTTTGAGATCGAGCACCACAAGCATTACATGTGAATGTTGCTAACAGACTTCTTCTTGGTAATTTCATGTCAAATACTGCTTCCTGCAAGAAGGTACCCGCTCATTAAGAATACACAAAGAAAATGTTAAAAGAAACAAAAGAAATCCAAAAAGGGAACTGAACTAGGACAATTGAAAAGCTAATAAACACATCAATACCAATGGTAAGAGGTAAAGAAGAAACAAAAAGAAAGAGAAAATAATAGAAACAGAAAAGATTTCTTCTATGATGTAAGAGAGATTAAGAAGGAAATCTGAGAGGAAAATGTCAATAGGGACCAATTAATGAAGGTGAGTATTCCTTCCTTATGTTACTATCTATTGTTTCTTGTAATTCCATTACAAAACCTCACTGGATATGTTGTACTTCCCTACGTAAGTGGGAGACTACACTCTTTCTACCTCTATAGAATTCCTTTCATACCTATACAATTCTAGTACTCTATAATAAGGCATGAAGCCTCCATTCAATCTCTATTTCTTTTTTTATTTTGCTTTTCTTGCGCAGGTATTTGTTTTCCTCCCATTATGTTGTCCAACTTTCATTTTTCATCTTCCTTATGTTTTGGGTATTGTTTAGTGCTCCTTTTACATGCAAGTTGAACTGTCTGAGTTCTTACTCTATTTCCACATTCTGTTGCGAGAGCACAAGGGAATTATGGTAGAATACTAGAATAAGCAATTCATTATTGTTTATGGCTTCTTTCCTCAGGAGAAGGAAGCTAAAGGAGATTTTGTAGTCATTCTCTTGGCCCAAAAAATGATACTTGAGTGGCCAAAGGGCAAGTAGAAATTCTTTTTCCATGTAACTGCAAATTAGAACATCTAATTCATTCTTCGTTAAATAAGGGGTGTACATGTCACTTCTTCCCATTGAAGTTAAGTTACTCTTTTCTGAATCTGAAGTAAAAAAAGGTACCGAGTCAAGGTGATAACTGAAAACCACCCATCAAGAGCCAATCTTTCCAGAAAAATCTAGTAAAGGAGGAGGGGAAAACTTACATTACAGAAAACTAGCCAACAGAGAGACAAAACTACTCTTTTGCAAAGTGCATAAACCAAGGTTAGCTTTAATCAGTTGAGATGCAGAGACAAAGATGTCTCAACTTCAAAACCCATCAAAGTGTTTTTGTAACTAACTAATTGGTGCTCCACTACTAAGGTGTACCCAAGTGTCTAGACTCTAGAGGCTCACGGTGGCACTTCCCCCAGCTGGTGGTCTAGATATCCAAAATCGTTAGGCAAACACTCACAATGCATGCAAAGAACGGCAAAAAAGTACCTTTGAAGAATCACTTGAAGCAGATGAATTCACAGATTCTGGTTGTGTTTCAGAACTATCTTCCACTACACAAGAAATAATTGGAAGCCGGGACAAATGTTCTGATGCTCTCCTCTTCCCATAAATAGTACTTGACCTGTTACATAAAATAAAACATAAACATAGTTTTAACCAACACAATCCTCATGCACTCTACCTAGTATGAAAAAAACTACTACGCCTTAATCACAATATAATTGTGGTCAGCTATACATATCCTCATAGACACTTAGCTCCAATTGGACCTGTTTCATCCACATGACCCAGCTTAATTAGTTTTTACATAGTACTGCAGACAGGGCGGAGCTAGAGTGTAGGAAGCGGATTTGGCAGAACCCATTAGTTTTGGTTCAAACCCTGTATTTGTTCTAAGAAATTCATTTATTATGTACAAATTATTAATTTAGAACGCAATAACTCAAAAGGACTAAAATCCCGAACCCATAAGCTTCAAATACTACTATTACTACTACACTTGGGGTTGGCTATACAAATTATCTATATCATTCCATCCCATTAGGGCCTGTTCCATTCCACTCACAGTTTTACTGCGTTCTACATACTACAACCATATCAACTAATATGCCTCAATCTCAAACTAGTTGAGGTCGGATATATGAATCCTCTATATCCATTCTACTTTATGTGAACCCGTTTCTTCCACTACTCAACTCTACATAATAAAGTTCAATTTTTTGGGGATAACTAGTAAAGTTAAGATTTTTATACCAAACAACAAACAAGGGAATCAAAAAAGATAATACACTTCTATCTCAAAGTAGTTGAGATTGACTATATGAATCCTCTATATCCATTTTACTTAATGTGAACCCGTTTCTTCAACTACTCAACTCTTCCTTTTTCTTGATAATCCTGGTGTTCGAGCCAGATTGCACTCACCTCAACTAATTCCATTGTCACCTCCCACCAACAACATGCACCAGGTTACTCTTAACTTCCACTACTGAACTCTACATATTAAAGTTCAGTTTTTTTTAGATAACTAGTAAAGTTAAGATTTTTATACCAAACAACAAACTGGGGAAATAAAAAAAGATGATAATCCTCTATCTCAAACTAGTTGAGGTCGACTATATGAATCCTTTATATCCATTCCACTCAATGTGAACCCGTTTCTTCCACCACTCAACTCTTTTTTTTTTCATGATAACCATGGGATTGCGCTTACCTCGACTAATTCCATCGGATACCTGCCACCTCCCACCAACAACAGGTATCAGGTAACTATCACTTTAACTACTCATCAACTCTACATATTAAAGTTCAGTTTTTTTAAAAGATAAACCAGTAAAGCTAAGATCTTTCTACCAAACTTCAAACTGGGGCATAAAAAAAGAACCAAAAAGACAAACCCCATGAAATAAAAGAATGAAATTAGGAAAAAAACATGATGAATAGAAGCTCACCTTGTGGATTTGATACAGAAATGATAGGAATTAGGTCTGGAGGAAGAAGGGAACTGAAGAGAACAAATGGGCACATGGGTTTTGGTGCTGCTAACAGATAAAGAACTACAAGAATTGAAATTATGGAAGATTTTGCTGTTTCCTGTTATGGATATAGCCATTGAAAGAAGAATCAAGAACAGAGAAAGCTGAAGCTGCGGCTTAATTGGAATTATGTGTAACTTTATATATATATATATATATATATATATATGTTTTTTTATTTTTTTTATTTTTTTTTCAAGAATTGAGAAAAGGAATTTAAAGGAAAAATAGATTTTATTTTGATTTTTTTCATTTCATCTCTTAAATACCATCCTCTTTACAAAATAAAAATATATTTGAATTTTCATGTATATGAATTGAAAAAAAACAAACTAATTTCTACTTGGATACGAAACTATCATTTTTATGTTGCTGTGTTACAGTGCGCGATAAGATAATTCCAGATTGACGCAAAAAAGAGAACGTCATTTTCATTCACATTAGAAGAATTTATATATTTTACAAGTGTGATTATTTCCTAGATAGAAATAGCACATATTACACAGGCCAACCAAAATATCAAAAAAAAAAAAGAAAAAAAAAAGAGAGAGGGAATAGAGAACAATTTGACAATTTATCAACTTGTTCAATATGATAACATTTTTTTGTTGCAAATTGGAATAATTCAATCTTGTTCATCTACTTCATGAAAAGGAAGTGGCACTGTCTTAACAGCTCTAAATTTCCCTGCATTATTTAGATGCTCATTCTCCAACCTGTTAAACAATTGAAAACAATGTCCATATTAGAAAAAAAAAACACGATTTTAACTTATATACACTGACAGTATAAATCGAGAAATCCAAAAATCACCTGTAATAGTTCCAATGTCCTCTTCTAATGACTTCAAGGGCTGCTAAAAATAGCCCTGTTACCCTGTAGTCTACAGTTCCAAAATTGTAATGAAGTACTGTTTGTAACCATGCTAGTCTCAGTACAAGGTTCAATCCCTACAACAACATACACATTTCAAAAAACGACAACTAGTATACGTCTAATCCTCCAAAAGTAGTGCATTTTTTGAGGATTTGACACAGGTACGACAACATTTTAGTAAAGTCTAAGCAACATAGTATTAGGAGTTAGTACCATGGAGAAGTAGTAGATAAATTTTCGTCGTAGCATCAATTCATTCCTTAACCAAGGATTCTTGGAATGACATTGAAGCAAGCCCCAATCTTTAACAAAATCCCAGTATAATTGGTATACAGTTGCAACACTTGACATGACTATAACTAAACAAAGCCATCCCATATTCTTTTCTTTTTCAAATGCAACTTTTGCACCAGCAGCCAACATTGCAGACACATATTTTCCTAAGTTGACTAGGTGGCTTTTGTGTCCTTCATCGAACCATCTTCGTGCACACTGCAAAGATATCGTATTCGATTTAGTTTTTTCTATGAAAATCAGTTCAAAAGTTTAAATCTTGAAAAAGGGAAGTTGTTAAAAAAACCTGCATAGCTCTCCAGTAATATGGCAAGAAAGAAACTGCATAAGCAAGGTCTCTATAATATTTTGTCCTTATACAGTATCCATAATCTTGAGTTTTGTAACTTCCAGTTATGTAATAGCATGCTACATATTCAAGGTTTCTTAGCATTGGAACCTGTTTAGGTAACGGAAAACTAACATCAGAAAATGTTCGATATGTTAATAGTACTGAAAGAATGCTACTTAAACAGACATTCAAACTTGGCCTCAGCTTGCAAGTAAACACTCTTAACTTTGAGTATGCATATCTAGACATGCACCTCAACTCGTCCCCACTGTGTCAGTTGAACACTCCAACTTACAGAATGATCATCTAGACACCTCCAAAATTTACATGCCATGTAAGCATCGTGTGTCCCTGAGATGTAATGTGGACGAGTTGGAGTGTTTAGTTGACAGTGTGCACTCTCGAAGTTGGAGTGCTTACTTGTCAGTTGAGGTCAAATTTGAGCGTTTGTGTATGTATTATGCCTATTTAATGTACTGATGTTTCTTGCTAACCTGGCTACAAAGTTGATCAGCCATGAAGAAGTCTAACATGACAACCTTATACAAAGGTGAAAACATGATGTTCCTTATAACACGAATGAATCGATAACGGCTAGATTTGTATATGATGTTGAATGGGCACACCAGCAGCAAAATAAAGACCTGTTAAAAACAATTGTGATTATACTTATGCATATATTGAGTCGAAATAGCCAAAAAAAATTGATTTTTTTTGTTTATAGTAAGAAAATTACCAATAATAGGAGGGCAGGAATTGCTTGAATTTGATTATAGGAATACCCTTTTGCTACAAGTGTTAGATGAAGAAACAGGACTCCGATAACAGCAGTCATCGATGTAGTACATATAAGGAACACATCTCTGTACTTGAGTTCCTTAGTTTGAGCTAGCTCAAAGATGAAGCTATAGTTTACACGAGTCTTTCGCCACATAAATATGTTGCATCCATACAGAAAGAAGTGCAAGAACATTAAGCTGAACATGCTGCACAATCATCAGTGTACTTTCCATTAGATGTTTCGAAGAAATTCCTAAGACTTTACGAGTTAAATAGCATTTGAATTGTTTGAACCATAATCGAACGCTTGCCTGAGAACAGGATAGACAGTTTCCATGTAGATTGTATCAGATTTAGGTCTATACAGTCCTGTTATATGAGCCATGATCACATATCCAACTAAAAGTGCTATGAAACATCCTCCGAATAAACCTGTTTTCGAAAGCCAATCATGAAGCCAATCTCAGTCACTATTTAGAAGTTCAAATTAGATCAACATCATCTTGTTAATGTCAAATCTTGTTCCATTTTCCATTGTTCTTTCAACATTAGGCCAGTGTTACAAGTTTCATTTTGGCCTATGTTGCTCAGACTCTACACACATCCTGTCACACCAGTGTCAGATCCTCCAAAAATATGTAACTTTTGGAGGATTCGTCACACACCCTACAACATTTTTGAAGAGTCTGAGCAACATAGATTTTTGCGAACATGAGAGGTACAACAAACCTTAGAAAAACTAAACACTATTGTCTTTTGAACACTTAGAAAGTTCTTTAAAAGTTTGAACATTTTTTTGGTCAATTACATGATAATGACCTAAAATGGAGATTTCATTGTCCTCCACTGCTGAAAAAAAGTGGACCCTTAAGTCTACTTTTGCATCACATGGCCCTTTTTATGTTGATAGACTCTTTGTTTTTATTTGGCTATCCAATAAAAGAAGTGGTAACTCAAAAAAGAAGCCACTTATGTTATATTATATCTTGGATGTTTCCTTTTAGGTCCTTCCAATCTGTGTCGGAGACAATTTTCATCAAGAGGGTTCATCATTTACTGTATATGAATATACAGTGTGATTTTTCAATGAAACTCACCGATGAAAAAGGTAACAGCATGAGATTCTTTTTTCTGAGTTGGCTTTAAGTACTTCATAGCCTTCTTTTTATCATCTTCAGCAAAGTGTTTGATGAAAATCTCCTCAACATCATCAGCCAACTTCAAAGCCTATGTAACAAAAATGTATAATGTGTGAGACAACAATATCTTATCAAATACTATAAAGCTATAACTTTTGTAGAATTTCCCTCTTTAATATATGACCACTTAGTACTGTCTAAGAATAATCTTATGATGTTTCTTTGATGGGATATCTATTTGGAATTTAGTACCAAACAACACTAACACAAACAATGTCATGTTGCTACATTTTCATCTCCAAAAAGTTAAATTTACCTTGTCTGAGCTGTTGAAGTAAGAGCTCTCCACAACTCTTAGATAAATAGGAAGAACTTGTTTGTTTGTAACCTATGAAAAAAGGAAAAAACACATGAAAAAAGTTAACTTAAGACATAGTAAAAGTTAAGTATGGAGAGCTAGAAGAAAAAAAATTACTTACTTTGTCAAATTTCTTCAAGATCTTTACAAAAGCAAGCATGTTCAAGTTCCTATAAAGATTTCAACATGTTAAATTGTTTTGTAAAAAGAAAACTAATTGTTAATCGAACGAGTAGTTACTTGAGTAGCATACCGATAAGTTTTAAGGTATCCTAGTCCCTTGTAGAGTTCAATGAAGGCTCCTCTAATCATCTTCTCCGCGTGTTTTAGCTTTGTTCTATTGATGTGCAATTTTTTCTGTCCATTAGGACCACATTTCTTGGAGGATTGATTGATCATATCATCCCTAAACAAGTAAGTTATAGCTGAGAATGTTCGTGTTGGATTCGTTAGAGGAATGTGAATCTTTAAGCTTTTTCCCTGGTTATTGATCACTCGTTCAGATGAACTCTTCGATTTATTGTCTTCTGTATTGATGTTAGTTGGATTGCCTAGCTCACTTGATCTTGGAGAGTCTAGTATCACTTGATCTATTGAGTTCTCAATGTCCTGTTCTTGTTCTGTTCTGTCTTTGTTGGACTCTTCATCTATTGCCAAAAAACAAAAACAAAAAATGTTTTAGTTCAAACATTTTGCTTCATTACAATTCGTAAGCTAAGTCCTAGCCCTCCTTAATAAAAAGTCGGTAGAAAGTCTGTCTAGTGGTATAAATGCGCTTAAATAAACATTTTGCTTCAACTTGGAGGAATAACATATATATCATGAAATTGATTTCTAGATTCCTATGTCCTCTATACATATGATATATAAAATCAATCAATCATGTAACAACTTAGAAAGTATGAATAAATGCTAAGAATATTTCAATGCAAAGTAAAAAAATCTCAAGAAAAAGGAAAAAAAAAGTATTACTCCCTATATTCAATTATGAAAATGTAAATAAACTACCAAGGATTGCGATTAGATAAATAATATCCCACCATCCTTAACCAGAGGTATCAGTTCAAGTCCTGAGTATTGAAAAAATCCTAGCAGTGATCTGATTAGTCTTGCCCCAATGTGAGTTCCAAACCAAAAAAGATGTTCAAGACCCTTGGAAAATGTTGTCACACACGTGTCATATCTTTAAAACATGCATATTTTTGGAAGGATCCGACACACATGCAACGATATTTTTGAAGAATCTGAGCAACGTGGACGAAGTCACGGAGACTAAAAAAAACATGAAAACAGAGTGAAAACAGGGGAAGCTCTGTTACCACAAGAAATGGTGGCTGAGATTGACTCATCATCTTTGATATTTTGGCCTGAAGAAGTTCCTTTATCATATTGTTGTTTGATCAATGCATCTTTGAGCTCAATAAGAATCTCCATTTGCTTCTTCAAACACTCCCCTCTTTCGATAAACTCCTTCTCCTTAGTTCGAAAAAACTGGTTCACCTTGTTAAGTTGAAGGTCTAAAAGCGCGAAAAACTCAGCAGCAGATTCAGTATCAGCAAATTGCTCCAACAATTCAGTCTCATACAAATCTCCTTTACTCAAAGTTTGTCCAAGCTTCGTATGAACCTAAAATCGATCAAAATCCACGTTAAAATCAAGTTAACAACTTAAGAAACAGAACAAAAAAAGCACAAAGGTTGATCAAGTACTTGAATGATCCCATTTTCGCGACGTTGAGGTCCAAACAAAGGTAATTTCCTAAGAGAGGTATAAATGTTACGCGAAAAAGAGCTCTTTTTGTTTGCGTTATTAACATTATTGTTAAGAAGATGAATTTTCTTGAGGTCTTTTTTCAATTGCCAATAATCAACAAAAGCTTCTTTCCATTCAGGAACTAATTGTCCTTCAAATTGTTTAGAAAATTTCACCATATTTTTTTGCAAAGAAAATGGCAAAAAATGCAAGTGAAGTGTGTTTGGAATGAAGGAAAATATTGAAATATTTAAGGAGAGGGAAAAGGGAATTTAATTATTATTATTTTTGAATGGTACAAGATTCTAAATAGCACAATTCAAATAATATCCAATGGTTATACTATGCTTATTCCACTTGTGATAATACATTTTATATTAGTGATTTTACATTTTATACTATAATGTAAAAACAAACAAACATGGTACTAACTTTACTTCCCTTTATATCTTCTTTTCTTTAGTAAAATTTCAGTTTTTTTGTTTTACAACTTTTCATAACGTTTAAAGTACATCACGTAATTCACACTTAACTAGTCACGAAGAAATCAAATGAGTGTTATCGGATGTGGTGTGATGGATGTGATCCCTTCACTCTTAATTAGAGGTCTCGACTTGGTTCGACTCTCCTAATAACATAGTGTTTTCCTTTTTTTATCAGATCAGTGAATTTCGAATATCAGATGGTTAGATGAAAAAAAGAGAAAGAGAGATCCAATAAGTGGTGGACAAACTTTGAATTACAATTTTTTTTAATTCAAAAGTTTGTTGTTAGTTACTTATCCTTAACCAGAGGTCTCGAGTTCAAGTCCACCTGGGTATGGAGTCGCCTTTGTTAGCAAGCGCTTTAACCCTCAATGTGGAACTTTCCGACGTGAATCTAGATTTAATCAGATTCCAATATAGATACCGAACACCAGGTAAGAAGAAAAAGAAGTTAAACTAGTCTATCACTAATCGTTATGCTTCTATAATACTAAATGTTCGATTGAATTGTTTTCGATAAAGGAAGGAAACTAGATTAAGATCATGAACATGAAGTTTATGTTAATTAATCTCAAGAGTTTCTTATTGAGTATGTTGTTTACTGGCCAAATAAAATTAACATAAACACATAGCTTAACTCTAATTAGACTAGACTGATTTCCACTTACATCTAAGATAATTAAAAAAAATACTTTATTTTTAGTAATGTTACCCTCTTTTCCCTACTTTAACTAACAAAAAAAATGTAAGATTTTGTTGTTTTGTATTAAAAGTTAGTGTAGGAATTCAATGTTTAGAACTTTTTAGGCCATTTTTTTCAAATAAGTGCTCATCAATTATTTTATTTTTTTGACATCCTCTTTATTGACCCTCTAATAATGGACCATCCAAATTTATTACTTACCAATGTTGGTTTCATTTGATGCAATTTGGACTAACACATCCCATATTGATACAACAATAATATATTCGATGTATTTCACAAATAGGGTCTAGGGAAGAATGCAAAATTTTAATTACTCGTATATTGTGTTGGCAAAGAGATCATTTTCGATAAATCCTCAGCCTAAATAATATGATAATTAGGGTAAAGGAAACAACAAATAATAATAAAATTAATAAAAAAAATAAGAAATTATGTAAATAATAATAATAATACTGCTAAAAGAACTAAACGATGTTTAATGGCCTACTAACTTTCTATCCAATAATTTGGTATATAAATTGGAAAAAGTTTCTTTTAAGTGAAATTTGCCAATGTAAGTAGGACTACTATTTTATCTTTATATACTTTAGACTAAAAAACCTAATTTTCTAAGGAAGAAAAAGTGACATATCGACTATTAATTTCTCACAAATGTTTGATAGGATTGCCCTAGATACATAAATACTGTGGAGAATTGTGAGTTCCATCGATTTTTTTAAAGAGATACAAAAATGTATCATTCATTTCTTACAATTTGAATTAATGCAACACATACTCTAAATATTTTTTTAACGAAGCAAGGACCTTTATATAATATATATACACTCAATGACTACTTTAAATTACTATTTACTTTGTTGCCTTTTTTGGGGGATATATTTATTTATTTAGACATGGAGTGATATGATATGCAAGTGTACGTCATTTCTAAAAAACGGAAAGAATTAGTTATAAATTTCTTATTTTTTGCAATATTATTCGTAGCTAATATAATATTTTTTTGATAATCTATAGTTAATCAATTTCTAAATAATATTAACGATGAATTTTTTAATTTAGCTATAAAATTTGTTTGTCCTATTTTTTGTTTTGAAAAATAAAAAAATCACACCACATATGTATTTAAGACTTTATATTACTAGTTATAAATAAATCTTTAATAGTTATTAAAAATATCAATTTAATTACAAGTTCTAACATATTAAGATTATTTTGTATTAAACATGAACTGCTTCTCTCTCTTTTTAAATAACTATAATTAATATAACTATTTAACTACATTTTAGGAAATGAAGATAATTTTTTTAAAAAATATTTAAAAAAAGAAAAGAATCCCCTAAATCTCTCTCCACTTTCTTCTCCAAAAGATCTTATCTATTTATGTTTTTTAATGCAATTTTGTCATTGTATCTTGAAATGAAGTTTTGATTATTATTTTTCTCATAAGCTTTTTTTAGGTTGTATTTCTTGGTTTGATTCTCAAGTCATATTTCTTTTTCTTTAATTTGTGTTTTGTTAGTTTTTCTTGTATAAAAGGGAAAAATGTCTGAAATATATTCGAACTTTGACCGAAATTGTTGTAATAATATCGAACTTTGAAAATGACCTTTTATCCCTGCACTATTTAATAGTGTATTTTAAAGGTATATATATGCCCACATGGACATCATAAATATTGCATTATTATAAATAGTAATGTGTCCACGTGAGCACATATATACCTTTAAAATACACTATTAAATAAAGCAGATGAGTAATAGGTCCTACTCAAAATTTGGGATTGTTACAACAATTTCGGTCAAAGTTCAAATGTATTTCAAACCCTTTTTCCTATATAAAATAATAAAGTGATAAAACCATTCTAAAGAGAAAGTTTTGGTTGATAAAAAAGATACTCTAACTATATTTAAGTAGTCTTATTTTAATAAGACTTTAGCCTTGATCCCTATGATTATTGTAGAAATTTTTGCAATCGATTTATATTTAACAATTAACAGCTTTAATCAAGCATATAATAAGTTATTTAATTAATTACAAGGACACATGTTGATATTTAAGAATAAAATCTTGTTGGATACAAGTATGCATGAGAATCAAATAAAACAACCATTATGCTGGAATTTTTACTATTATATATGCTCCTTCAGTTTATTTTTACTTGTTCAATTTTAAAAAATTAAGATATAATTTATTATTTTATATCTATTTTATCGTCATTATTAAGTAACAATTCATTATCAAAATTTAGATAATTATAATAATTGAAAATGATATAATATAATTATTGTTTTATTTATTAATTTTTAAAAGTGTGATAAATCAAACATGAACAAATAATATAAACGAATGGAGTATTTACCAAAAAGAAAGTACGTGATGTAATGGGACGTAGATTCCGACATAAAATATGTTAGGTAACTTATACTTATTTCATATGCCGGAGAGAATTATTAATTTTGTGTCGGTAGAAAATAACAAATATTCATGTAAATTGACTCGATTATCATTATTATAAAAAGAATATATAATAAGTTATGGAGACCAACAGAGACAAAATACGCTTTAGGTGATTAATTTCTTCCCCATCTAAATTTTGATGGAGAAGATTATCCAATTTCATATTGATCGAAGGTATATATATAGCATATATCTAGTAAAATAGTCAAAATACACAAACTTATTCAAATTTTAAGGTTATAGAAAAATGTAAATGGAGAATCATCAAAGACATATATATTTGATATGAGAAAAATATTTTTCAAATTTTTCATGATCGATTAGTCAAATTAATTGAAAACATTTTTCTCCCTACTAATAAACACACCCAAAAACACGTTATAAACGATCCATATTAATTTCTTTCCCTTCATAAAAGATTTATTTGTGTGGATGAAAAGTAGTACATTTTACTAAAATAGATTGTTTCGAATATCATGATTATTAAAAAATATATAAAAAGTTAAAGGAAAAAAAAAGTAGTGGTATAGTAATATTATATATCACATGCCACGAAATTCCCACCAAATTGTCAGCATGATATAATATGCTAAGTTACAACAAAAGAAAAATATTCCAGATCCGTAGCCGTGTTTTTGCTGTTTTAACCGATAACAACGTATAAAACGTTTGAACATAAAAAAATGTGAAATTAAAAAAAAAAAAATTAAAATTGTATCTGAACATGGTTATAATTTGGAAAAATATAAAAATAATTTAGGATTTTTCAAATTAAAGTTCAAAAAATTATAACGTAATAAAAATTATTCATGGTCAAACGGACGATTGTATCGATGTGGAAAATTGAAAGCTCCATCTCTCAGGTGGGCTGACTCAAAGATATGTTCTTGTTTATATTCCAATATAGTTTCCCCACATATAAGTAGTGACAGATGCACTAGTGGAGGGATAATTACACGTGGCGCTTACGTGTTCTTATTCACAAGTATCATTAGCTTATGTGGCGATTTAAGAATTTGTTTCGTCTGTTTCGATTTATGTGACATTTTAGATATTTGTACGATTATGAATCAAAATCATATTATACGATTGATTAGCTTATATGGAGTATAGGCTACTGTGGCTCTAGAGTTTGAGATAAATATGCAACGTCGAGTTATTTTTGTTCCCTCTACTTAGGATTTTTCAGATGTAACACATGTTAGAGTAGGTTGGAGTTTCATATTAGTTGGGTAATGAACTAATGGTCTGTTTATAACGACTTGAACACAATCCACCTTTATAAACTAATTTTTTGAGTTAAGTTAGGCTCATTTGGTCGTACTTTACATGGTATTAGATTCAGGTCAATCCATATTATTTGGGCTTCCGATCAGCACTTTACTTTGGCTCTAAACGTGAAGAAAAATGTTAGAGTGGATTCCACATCAATTAAGTAATGGATCGGTGGTCTGCTTATATATACAGACTTGGATAATCATTCTCTTTAACTATGAATTAGTTTTTGAAATTGAATTAAGCTCGAATGTCATG